CCTCCTGGGAGCATTTTTGTCATTTAATCGCTCTCAGATCAACCATTTTGAAGTAATATTATTGTTGATATGTAGAGTAAAACCCTAATTTTCTTCTTCTATCAAAATCATTTCTTATAGCAGTAGAATGTATTGTTTACATTTGTAGCTAATCATTCACAAAAAGAGACGTCATAACCAATCATATCAAGGAACCATTTGAGTATTGAGCTCGGTTGCATTGTGTAAACAGACGCCATTCAAGGCCGCCATTGTTCGAAAATAGGTTTTTGTAGATTGAAAAAAAGCCGTAAAAAATTTAAAAAGACCAGTTGAACACGTAAAATTGTCAAAAGTATGTTTCTAAAGATACTGCTCAAGTAAGTTGAAAATATTTCGACGAAAAACTATTTCAAAAAGACTCGAAAAGAATCTCTTTATTAAAAAGTGGCTCCTTGAAGACTGTTTGTCGAAGTGGTTTGGTGCTCATTTTACCCCGAAACTCGTAGGAATTTAAAGAAGAAGACTTGCTTAACTTCGTGGCTGTTCACGGGTAAGCGAAGGATAAACAACTGTTATATTTTGCCATTATCTTGGCGCATCGAAGTTTGGAGGAACCCTTTTCGGACAGGATTTTGTTGCTTTTATTAAAATGTAAGTAAAAATGTCGTCCGCTTGTATGTTTTAATGTTCGGTACTAACTAGCCTCTCTTACACGTGAAAAAGCTTTTGTGTTTCAACCTGCACATGAGGCTAGTCAGTCCAGAACGATATTTTATTATCAATTATCAGATCAATATATAAATATTCTATAGACTCCTTGGAGCAAAGGTTATGCATTAATGTTCGAGTCGATATTTCAAATGTATCGCGCAGTCTTCATCGGTCAAATAAAGTGTGGATTCTTGTCGTCAAATTAAAAGATTCTTCAAAGATTATACTTATTCATTTGTCTCAGGATTGTGGTAACCTAAGAATCAGGCTCAAGGGGAAGGAGGGGAGAAAGTGAGAGAGGTAGGCTGACTCCAATGCTATTAGGAACTCGTTTTGGCCCTTTATGTGGCTCTCCTTCCTACCCCCTCCCCTTGGGCTTGAAACTCAGGTTACGATGGTAGCAGTTGGTAGGACCGCAATTTTTTGACTGCTACTGCAAGTCTCATATTTCTAGAATTCATATACTGTATTGATAATATGTTTCCATAGCAAGAGATCAACATTTTTAAAAACATACTTCTTAGCTCCTTGTTGAAGCTTAGAGGCTAGAGTCTTTTGATTACACTGTAGTTTCAATGTAGAAGCAATGATACTTATGATGTCATAACATAATGTTGTCAAGGCGAGGACAGTACAGTACGTCGTGAAGTAGAAATTTTTCATGTACTTGATTTCTGATTGGCAATCCAATAAACCTAAAATGCATATAATTAGCCAATCAGAGATCAAGCATACCGAAAATAGCATTTATAAAGGGGCATAGCATGCTTAATTAGTAATTGACTTAGAATTTGTTTTTCACGGACCAGTTTGACAGATTGAGAAGAGTGGAATGACAGGACGTGCGAGAGGAAGGAGTAGGGGACGTGGAAGAACTGAAGGTCTACCACCAGGAGCTGGGAATGTAGCCAGAAAACCAGGAGAAGCTGCCACAGCTGCCCCAGTTGGAAGAGGTAGAGCCAGAAGAACTCTATCAGACTCAGTAGTTGCCTCACAAGCTGCAATGGCCCCTCCAACTTCTGAAATGGCACTCATGACAGTGAGTGAGCATCCACGTAGTCAGCAGCATGAAGCACGACAAAGAGGAGGAATGTATAGTGAACCAGTGACCCGTCCTGAGGGTCTAAACAAAGAGGGTTCTACAGGGACTAAAGTACAGATCGTTGCAAACCATTTTAGATTAGAATTGACACGCCCAAACTTCACAATGTATCAATATAATGTAACATTCTCGCCAGAGGTTGAGTCCAAGAAAGTACGGTTTGGGCTCATTGGAGATCAAGAACGGCTGCTTGGCAGTGTCCGAACCTTTGACGGGATGACATTGTTTCTACCAAAAAAACTACCAGATCYGATAACGAAGATCTTTGCAACCAGGAGGAGACGTGATAATCCAGAAGGGGAGCCAGTTGAGATCACTATAACCCTGACGAATGAACTGCCAGCATCCAGCCCAATGAGTCTCCATATCTACAACCTCATCTTGAAGGAGTAAGAAAAAATTGCATGCTTTATGTGGTATCCATGTGGATAAAATAAATCTCCTAAATAAGACTATGATTAATAATTTACAATCACAAAGATTAAAAAAACCAGATTTTAAATTTGATTTTGATGATATTAGTAGGACAATGAGACCTTTAGAATGAAACTTAAATTTCTAGGCACCACAAACCTCAAACCACAGTTCAACCACAGGTTTCTGTCAAATTTTGCTGTTTAGCAATGCAACACAACAAAGTTGTTGCTGAAAGAGCTGCCATATTGAATTTTATTGATGTTGAGTGTTTCTCTGTGTTTGTGGGTGTGTTTGTGGGCCTCATCCCTAGCAGTTAGCTGTTAACCTGATGCTAAAGGTCTCTAATGAAAAAAATTATATTCTATTATATTTTATCTACACTTAATTGCAAGAATGCTGTAAATACCCTGCTGGCAGTCCCCTTTTAATTTTCCCAGAGTGAGAGAGAAAAAAGAAGACACTGCCGAAGTTGTGTAGTATTTTATTTGAGCATGCGTGACAGTTGCTAAGAAACTGCCGTGTAGAACAATGTAGAAGGCTGTCATATATAAAAATAAAAAAATATGACTATTAGAATATTTTTTATTTTGGTTTGACAAAATTCTTCCATTAATTAAGTGTATTATATTTTTATTTCATTTTTAAGAATCATTATAAACTTCAGTGTCGTAGAGTACGTTGCATGTTTTTTGTTTTTTAGGGTTCTCAAGATGCATAACATGCAGAAAGTTGGAAAAGACTTTTTCTTTCCAGACCAAGCTGTAAATTTTCCGCAGTATCAGTAAGCTGTATTTTTATTTGGTTTATTATTTATACTTTATGCATGCCCTCAACTCTAGTGCACATCTATGAAAATATCTGGGTCCCATACTGAAAACTCTGACCTTGAAACCACAAAGACTCATAATACCAATTATTATTATAATTCTATAATTGTTCCCTAAAGGAATGTAAAAATCTTAGACACTGCAGGGCTTTAAATAACAGTTGCACATCGGACAATGTCCGACCAGTACTGGGACTGTTTGTCTTGCCGGTCATTTTGAACAGTAATGTTTAGCCAGAAATGAGGTATGACTAAACTGAAACTAATTTGGCCTGTGATCATGACCCGTGACTGATCGGCCGTTATATTTTAAGCCCTGCAATGGTGGACTCAGCATCACATATAAGTACTGTTGGTTATTAGGACTTTTGACCCAAGGCATAATGAATGTCTGATACAGCAGTTTGTTTTACCCTGCAGAGTCCTTAAAATTTATGGTTATCTAAAATCCCAAAGAAAGTGAACACTAGGAATTCAGCTTTTTCCCCTTCCTTTTAGTTTGGAGCTTTGGCCAGGATACCAGACTTCAATTCAGAGGTTTGAAACAGATGTTCTACTCCAAATCGACGTGTCGCATAAAATCCTGAGAAACCARACAGTATTAGATTTCTTATATGAATTGCACCAGCAGGATCAAAGAAACTTTCATGCCAATGCTAAAAGGAAGCTTATTGGACAGATCGTACTCACAAGGTAGGAGATACCATAGTGTATATACATTTAACAATATGACAAAACAATCCAAGCAGTATTTCTTGATCTTTCTCATAACCTTGGAATACATAAGGTGGAGGGGGAGGATACATTCCTTCATCACGCAAGACAGTGTGTATACCATTACGACTTCTTAATCTGACTGTTTAATTTGCGGGATGATCTAGCATGAATAATCTTCCAATGATTTCAAGACTTCTTATTGGTTGAAATGTGGGATCATTCTGAGAGCCTTGTTTTTGTAAGAGATCCCATTTTTAAATGAGCCAATAAATGCTTAATCAGTAAATGCTTCTGTATATTAAACTTCTATACAGTGAGTAATAACCCTGGGGGGTACTCTGCCAGGATTTGGGTAGGGGTGTTCCGCTGGGATTCTGAAAGGGGTACCCTGTTTAAGACAAAAAAACTCAAATTTGTAGACCCTGTTTATGACAAAAGATATAATTAATTGCAATGAGTTCTTGTTTCAATTATCATGCCAGCTCGCATATTGTTTTTTTTAACAACCATAATAACCAGTTTCGGTCAATACAAAAGTAGAAACCCTGAATATGACAAGAAACTCAGGAAGAACTTGGAACTTGAGTGAAATTGCATAGCCTGTTTATGACAAGAAGCTCGAAAAACCATATCCCTATACGGATCAATCCGTATAGTCCATATATGGGAGTAACCCCCCTCCCCCCTTCCCACTGGGGTTACAACCTTTTAGCAGGACAACTATTACAGGCTATTCCCAGTTATTATTTTCTTAAAAACTTGAGGAAGGAGTTGTGGCATAGTGGTAGTCCACATTTAGGGCAGAGTATTTTTAGTGCACTTTCTGCTCATCTCTGGGGTTTGTCTATATCCAAAGTTTGATTCCTGGACAGGACATCATAAGACAAGCAGAGTTTGCTTCATCCTTGATTTTAGGGTTTTTTCTCCCTTCTCAAAACCTAACAAGCTAAATATTCCAATATGTATATTAGCCATGCCCAGACATTCATCAGCTTGGAGGTTTCAGGCTATCAATAAAATTTGAAGGTTTTTTAACTTAAATAATAGTTTAAACACTTTTATTGTCTTATTCCAGGTACAACAACAAAACCTACCGAGTAGATGACATTAATTGGGATCTGAGACCCCATCATAAGTTTTCAACTTCACGTGGAGAGATAAGTTATATTGATTACTATGCAAAGGTAAATATATCTTTAAAAAGATTAATTTGATGTTTAAATTGAATAGTGAATACATTGTTTTATCTATTTTAAGGCCTATGATAAGCAGATAGCAGACATGGAGCAACCAATGTTAATCAGCAAGCCCCAAAAAGTGGTATGTTAATGTACAGTGTAAGAAGTGTAAGGAGAAGCATGCGCCGAGTGCATCTCACACCTGCTTACGGCACTTACTAAGTGCTTTATTACTGAACAGAACATGGAAAAAGCTGTTTTATTTGTTTCATTATATTTTATTTTAATGAAACTTTATTTCCATATTGAATTAATTTTATTAACAAAAAAAGAAACAGCAGCACTTCGAGCCCACAGAGGGTGCCAGCGGTACTGTGCCAGCACTGCTCAGTTCACTAAAAAAGCACAGTTTTCAGCCAATCAGTGTGCATGTACTATCCTAACTATATAATGAAATCTCACAGAAACCATAAAGTGACTTCTGGTCTTATTTCCTCTATTAAGCCCCCTGGGGACTTATTCTTTTTCTCACGTCTTAGTCCCCATGGGGGCTTAATTAAATTAGCTCAGTCCCATGTGTACGGAACCCCTAAAAGTATAACTTTTTAACCAGTTAAGAAATTCATCTGGCACCATGTAAATACAGAGTGGAGGCAATTAAATAAACTGGGATGGCTACTTTTTTTAGAACAGCATATAGCCAGAACTCTAATTGTTCACTAACTTTTCCAAGATCATATTGTGTAGTCTAGCTATATAAAATATAATGGAATGGTCAAGTGCTGTTAGTTTGTTTGGAATTATTTATGTCCATAATGATTCCATTAGGTACATTACATAGTGCGTAGTCTAGCTATATAGGTAAAAAATAATTTTCTTTGTTTACAGTTTGGAAGGAAACCCAATCCTGATGACACAGTAAATCTTCTTCCTGAGCTTTGCTACATAACTGGTACTTACTTGATTTGTTGTTTTGTGCTGCACAGTAATAACTTGTTTACTTAATTCGAATTTGTTCACCAGGCGTTTGATGACCATCTTTGATATTAGATAAAACTTGCAGTTCCAGGTGCATAAGTATAAACTGCGACAAATGTAATTGCATGCTGTTGTTATGCACAGGCTTTTATATGTCAAAGTGATACATATTGATGCAAAGCTGTCTGTTTTACTAAATAAGGCAATGATGTAAAAGCTTGTTTTACAGCAAAAAACCTTTGCTGCATTGTAGTATACAAATACATTAAATGTGGTCATATTTTTGCACAATATATGGTGCACAATATTAAACAAAATAGTGACAGTTTTGTTGTGCAAGCTGTAATGCTAATATTTATTGATCATAACCAGTTTTCCATGTTTGCTATTCTGATCGAAACTGTCAGACTTGGGATGCTAAGAGAAGCAAAGCAGAGATATTTACTACAGTACATTGCTCTGAAAATCATTGGCACAAACAAAAATGCAAGAAATTGAGATTTTTTCTGGCACATGCTACATGTAGGGATCCCAATGCAACACAGGGAAGATGTCAAAATTAGAGTTGCTGCTTGGAACCACTGCTTGTGTAATGACTGGCAGCAATAAGGACAAGGAAAATTTCGAGGACTTCCAAAATTGGATGAGGCCATAGGCTGAATCCAATTTGGCAGTCAGAGGAATTTTTCGAGTCTAATTATTTCTTGATTGGTGCATGGGGAGCATGAAATCCCATTACCTATTAATGATATAGCTGCCTGATTAATTCCATATCAACAAGTCCTGTCCAATTAAGAAAATAATTGGACAGTTACCTATGTGGGATTAATGAGAAGCTGTATACTTATATATCTAATATTAATCCATTATGTCGTGTCTAGGTCTCTCTGATGAAATGAGAGCTGATTTTACTATGATGAAGGATCTTTCTGTATATACCAGGATTGCACCAAAGCAGAGAAGTATTCAGCTGAGCAAGTTTATCAACAGCATAAACAGGTATTATGAGCTGATGAATTATTTTCTAAAACGTCATGAATAATTATTGCTGGGATTATTAATTTTGTGGTTTTAAGAAATAAAGCTAAAAGGGTTTTTCGAAGAGCTCCAAAACATATTGGCAATAATTTCTAATCTTTATTATTTCAGCAATGCAGAAGCCAGCCAAAAGCTTCAGGGCTGGGGTTTGCAGGTAAGAAAATGCAAATGGTTGCTCAAATAATAAATGGGCTAAGACTGAACTTGTTTTATCAAATGCTAACAATATTTTTTCAATCTAGTTTGGGAGAGGTTTGCTTAATCTAGATGGGCGTGTCTTACCAACAGAGAAGATCTTTATGAGAGACAAAGTGGTAAGTTCATATATATTGTTAATTGAGTAAATAAGTAAATTAATGTTGCTGGGGAAATGCTAATTTGCTTCACTTGACATTACTTCCATTGTACAAAATGATAATCAGCTGATCAATCACACGTTTTTGATTACTTGTAAAACAGATTCTGAAACTACTGACTGAATTCAATATAATTGAAGAAATAGAAAATGTGCATCTGTGCTGTGTGCATGTGTTATCCTTGCCAATCCCTGCTTGCTTTATAACTGCAGTTACTGTATATAAAACAAGTGGGGACTGGGATARCATACCAGCTGAGTTGACCACCACCTGCACGAAAGGGAATTATGGGTCATTTATTTTTGGTTAGCATTTCTTGAGCAAGAACTCAATTCAATAAAGATTTTTCTTGTGGATTGAAACGAAAAAATCTGCTGTGAGTTTTAGCTGTTAATATATGACAAGTAGCATTTACGATCAATTCGTATTTCATGGGTTCTCTCTTATATAGAATCAAGAGAAATGCTAATCAAAATACGATGTCGAATCCTCAATTCTGATTGGTTGAACTTGAGTGTGTTCTGATTTTCAACTCAGCTGTAGCCTGCGTCACATCTGGAACTTTCTTCGTAAATACCCTGGTATTTATGAAGAAATTTCCAGATGTGACGCAGACTACTCAGCTAGCAAGAATAGCATTAGGAGAAGCACAAAATTTAGCTTCACAACACATCTCAATTGTCTGCAAATCCCCACTGCCCACAGCAGTAATTTTTTAGTTCTTTTATGGAATTCAAACTAGAGTAGCTGTTATTTAGATAGAGCAGCACAAGATTTTGTGATAACAGTTATGTTATTACTCTTATTTAGTTCTCCTACGATCCTAAGTCTGCTGACTGGAGCAGAGAGATAAGAGGAAATGCCCTTCACTCAACTGTAAACCTAGAAAATTGGTTGATTGTGCATACTGTCAGAGACACCAACATTGCTATTGATTTCAAGACAACGATAGAAAGAGTCTGTGGACCAATGGGTATCAGAGTCTTTAATCCAAGAATGTAAGTGTTCTGTTGGTTTATGTTTTTCTGTATTAAAGATTTATGCACTAAAAAAACACATTATACCATGCTTATTTATTAATTATAATAAAATATTATAATGTCCAATCACTCTTACCTCCAGACACGAGTGAAACACTAAACGTTTTTTAGCATGAATAAGAGATAAAGAAAAAATTGCGAAAGTAGCAGCCTTGTCGTTTTTCTGCTCTGTCCTCCAGATGTCTTATCTTCTCAATGACATGCCAGACACCCTCATTGGTTTAAACGTGATAATAGAATAATAGAAACATGATTTCCAAGTGAACATTGAGCAATAAAAACCGCTTTCTTTTCTCAATAGTAAAATGAAATAAAATTATTGATTTTGGAAGGATGCTGTAACAATTAGAATTAGTATGCGCAATTATTAATAAGTTTGGGCCAGAAATTAGACTGTGTATTTCATTCCTGGGGGGATACTTTTGCCCGTTTAGGGTAGGGATGTGCCGCATGTGTTGCAGAGTAGAATCGCTGAAAACCATACCCTGTTTGGCAGCACATACCCGTATAACGAATTCCAGCGAGGTCGGAAATTAATTTTTCTGAATCTATTCCCAAGGGTCTTTCGCCCGGAATAACCTCGTTCCCAAGCACATCTATAACTTATCTATATTTCTATATCTCGTATAGTGAATATAGGGGAGTACTCAACACCCCCCTACCCCAGGATTTAATTGCTAATGGAAGTATGAATTGATAGTGCAAAAAGTTTGTAAATGTCATTCTTATGTCATTCGTCTTATATTCTATATATATTTAAGGGTTGCTGTTCAAAATGATCGTACTGAGACTTACCTCAGAGCCCTGATGAATGAGTTAGATAGAGACAGGCCACAAATAGTGATTGTCATCGTACCATCAAACAGGAAAGATCGATATGATGCGATCAAGAAACTTTGCTGCCTTGAGAAACCAGGTAAAAAGATTCACTCATTTTCTATTGCAAAAAGCAATGGAATGGTAAAGATTATTCATCGTGGATATAAATCAAAGAGTATACTTATTCATTTGTCTCACGATTGTGGCAGTTGGGAGGACTGCAACATTTCCACTACTACTGCTAGTGTTCATCAGACAATGGTGTAGAGTAGAATGTGGTCTTCTTAATTGACCTCTTCGGCACTGACATAATGTTTTTCCATTTCAGACCACATGTCAT